TAAAGATTTTCCTTCTTTTAAAGAGAGCATTGAGTTGACTTCGAAGGCATGGGAAACAGCAAGTTTTTGGATAACTAAGGAAAAGAAAATTCTTATAACGTCTTTTGCTCTGTAAGTGCCTGATGCACTGAATGAGGTCAGCGGGAACACTGGATTCCTTTGTGTACAGCAAGGTCATAATTACTGATTATTATGGGACTCGGTGAAACGGAACACAGGTGAGTAACAATGCTCCTTTTCTTCTGGGCCTTTTTTAATCTCTCAAAGCATCAGCAACTGCCTTAGCCACATTTCCACCTATACCTACTTCTCACAGAGACCCAATCTACATTGCAAAGTGATCTTGGTTTTATATTGCGCTAAATTTCCTGGCTTCCTGGGAACTCTAGTTTGGTAAGAGTGCTCTGGTCACCACACCTTAAAAAGGATATTATAGCTTTGGGAAAAGTGCAGAAAAGGGCAACTCGAATGATAAAAGGGTTGGAACACCTTCCCTATGAGGAAAGGTTAAAGCGCTTAGGGCTCTTTAGCTTGGAGAAACGACGGCTGAGGGGTGACATGATTGAGGTTTACAAGATTATGCATGGGATAGAGCAGGTATAGAAAGAGGTACTTTTCTCCCTTACAATACAAGAACTCGTGGGCACTCAATGAAATTGCTGAGCGGTCGGGTTAGAACGGATAAAAGGAAGTACTTCTTCACCCAAAGAGTGATTTACACATGGAATTCACTGCCACAGGAAGTGGTGGCGGCTACAAGTATGGACGGCTTCAAAAGGGAATTAGATAAGCATATGGAGCAGAGGTCTATCAGTGGCTATTAGCCACAAGGTATAGATAGGGGCTCTGGGGCAAGTGATGCTCTGTCTTCTTGGTGCTTGGGGGGGCCAACAGTGGGATGGCTTCTAATGTCCTGGCCCCAATGGTGGACCTTCTGATGGCACTGGTATTTCTGGCCACTGTGTGATACAGAGTGTTGGACTGGATGGGCCTTTGGCCTGATCCAGCATTGGCGTCTCTTATGTTCTTATGCTCTCCTCATCTCTCTGTCCCACTTGCATATTAAAAAAGCACTCGGGGGGGAGGGGTTGTCCAAGTTTTGCATGGAAAGTAGAGATGCCAGCCTCCAGCTCATAGCTGGAGATCTCCTAGGATTACAACTAATCTCCAGGCAACAGAAATCAGTTCACCTGGAGAAAATGGCCACTCTGGAAAGTGGACTCTATGGCTTTATACCCCATTAAGTCTCTCCCTTCTCCGAACCCCACCCACCTCAGGCCCCGCCCCCAAAACCCCCGGGTATCTTCCAACCCGGAGCTAGCAACCCTAGCATAAAGTTGTCCACAGGGGAGCCAAAGCCTGTCTGCCGCCTTCTCCAATGTCCTCACTTTCAATACGTTTTCTACCAGCCTAGGTCACTTTGGGGTTGGAGGCAGTGTTCCCCCTAAGCTGAGTCAGTGTGAGCTAGCTCATAGGTTTTTAGCCTCCAGCTCACACGTTTTTGTCTCCTCTCGGGAAGGAGGGCTCCAGAGCCAACTAATTTATGCAGTAGCCAGATCACTTTGCTCACAACTTTAATGCTAGTAGCTCGCAAAGCAGAATTTTTGCTCACAAGAGTCCACAGCTTAGAGGGAGCATTGGTTGGAGGCAAAAATACCTGAAGTGACAAAGCGAAGAAGGGGAGTTCAAGCAGGGCTGGATCAGTTCCCCAGACCCTCAGGGATCTTTTGACGCAAAAATCAGACTCTTTGCCCTCCATTTTGTATGTAAACTGGGCAAATATGTGAATGAATACACACGGCTGCTCCATGCCTCTTGGGGCATGTATCTGTACCACAGACAAAAAAAATTGAGATTTAATCGCAATTTCCTCTCCCACAGAGAAATCTGGGAACTGAAGTCCAGTAAGGATTTGTGAGGTGGTGCCGTCAGTAAAACGACGGTTCCCATGACAACATGGCTGCTGCCTCGCGTCAAGTGTTGCCTCCAAGTGTCCATGTCTATGAAAGCGTATACCCAGAATACACAAAAGCGTATACCCAGAATTAAACTTTGTTGGTCTTAAAGGTGCCGCTGGACTCAAACTTTGTTCTGTTGATTCAGACCAACATGCCTACCAATGCTCCCTCTAAGCTGTGGAGTCTCGTGAGCAAAAATTCTACTTTGTGAGCTACTGGCATTAAAGTTGTGAGCGAGCGATTTGGCTGCTGCATAAATGAGTTTGCTCTGGAGCTCTCCTTCCTGAGCTAAGACAAAAATGTGTGAGCCGGAGGCTAAAAAACTGTGAGCTAGCTCACACTAACTCAGCTTAGAGGGAACACTGATTGCATCTACATTCATTTGTAATCTTTACAACAGCCCTGTATGACGGCCCCTCACACTTCCTTCTCTCAGAGGTAGATTTTCCCTCCAAAACTTTGTTCCCTTCTGTGACTGAGCCGCCCCATGTAATTTGGTTTTCTTCTTTGTCTTTAAACAACTGTCTGTCCCCCTCTGTCACAGAGATATAATTTGGCTTTTAGTCGAGCCCTGGAACCTGAGGGAAGAATAAGGAGCCTTCTGGGGCTGAACCCCTTCAAATGGCACTCAAAATGATGTCAAAGTCAAGCAGAACAAAAGATTTTATTTCAAAGACAGGGGGAGGGCAGGTGTAACCTAGAGTTGTTAACTTTGAGGCAAAAATCAGTGGCTGTATAGTTTGTAATTCTTTATACGGGCAAATGAGAGTTATTGAAGATTACCTTCTTAGTTATTAAGAACTTAATATCGAGAGGCTCTTCCCCCTGTGTTTTCCAAACACTACACTGGCCCCTGCCACATGGCAGGGAAAACACAGGGGAAAGTGCGGCTTTTAAAAGCCGCACCAAAGTTGAGACGCCGTGGCGGGATCCCATGGATCCCCTGAGCCGCGGCGCGTCGCTCCCCGGCACGATCAGACGCCGGGGAGGAAGAGTCAGATGGGAGGGGGAGGCTGCCGAACTGCGCATGCTCGAGCATGCGCAGTAAGGCCGGGATGCGCCGGCGCAAGGACACGCCAGCCAATCCCACAGCCTGGCTTGAGGCGCTCTACTCGAAAGAACCACCTAGGTAGGTGGTTCTTTTTTAGTGCGAGTTTTTGGCGGGAGGGACGGATCAGGGACGGGCAAGCAACGATTCCCAGATGTTGCCATGGGATCGCGCCCATTTGCTCCGCTCCCGTTCCATCCCGCTCCCGGCCCAAAACGCCTCGTATGAACAGGGCCACTGTTTCTTAATAGACTTTCCCATTTCTCCTCCTATTCCCTTGAGGCTGGTACCTCCTCTCAGTACCAAACTCCCTTCCTTTTAATCCCTAATTTCTCTCTAGGTCTTGAGGTGTCTCAAGCAGTTTCCTTTCACAACAGAAGAGGGATCGCCTTCACAACAATACCAGAGGAGTCAGAGATGAACGCAGGGTCAACAAAGCCGAAGGTCAAAAGCCAAGGATCAAGCCGAGAAGAATTCCACAAGGTCTGGAGCAGAGATGCAAGGATTCAGGTCCTGAACAAACGACGTTTGCCAGCACAAATGACTGCTGGCAACAGACTTGCATATATACAGTGCTAGCTAATCAACTCATTAGCTAGCCAGGAGTGAGGACAGGATCCTGTCAGTAATCAGGGCTAAGAGATCTTCTGGCACGCATGCGTGCATTCTGCCTTTGCTCTCTCAGCTGTTGTCTTCTTACATTCCTGAGCCTGGTTACAGGTGGAGGCGAGTCTGATGATGAATTACTGGGCTGCAGCAGAGACTGATCCCTTGCAGGTGTTCCCTGGGAGGCTCTATCCTCCTCACCACTTAGATAGCTTTCAGCTACAGGATCCAGTCTTTGCCTTTCTGCTGCAGTACTGTCCTCAGGAGCCTGTTCAGGGTCCTCAGAGTCAGGAGCCTGTTCAGGGGCATCAGCAAAGGCAGGCATGACATCAGCAGGGGCAGGCATGACACTGGGCAGGGATTCTGCTTAATCCCCTAGAAGACATATATCCCTTTTCCTTTGGTCTGAATGGGAGTCTCATCTCACTACCCAACACCCCTGCCAAATCACATTCCCAGTTCTTGTGTCTGCGTAAAACTGCTGAGGTGTAAAACTGCTGAGGTCTGTAGGCTGAGACTCGGACTCCGTCAGTTCTTTGACTGACTTCTTCCTCAGAGCAGATTTTTGACAGTTAAGGAACACAATCGTCACTCCTCTCTCCAATCAGGAATCGGTCAGAATAATGAAGATGAAGATGATGAAGAAGAGGAGGAGGAAATTGGATTTATACCCTGCCCTTCACTTGGAGTCTCAGAGCGGCTTACAAACTCCCTTCCCTTCCCCTCCACACAACAGACACCCTGTGAGGTGGGTGGGGCTGAGAGAGCTCTGACACAAACTGCTCTTTTTCAAGGACAGCTGTGCCAGAGCTTGTGACTGACCCAAGGTCACATCAGCAGGTGCAAGTGGAGGAGTGGGGAATCAAACCCGGTTCTCCCAGATTAGAGTCCGCACACCTAACCACTACACCAAACTGGCTTAACCACGACACCAAAATGCCCCAATCTCCCTCAGCACCCAGCTAATAAACATTTCTGCCCTCAGCTGGCGCTGGCCAATCAGAGTGCTTAGAGTAACCTGTCACTCAAAGCTCTCCATTCTTGAGGAGACTCGACTCTTCACAGTTCCCTCTAAGCTGTGCTGGGGGGTGTATGTGCTGGAACACAAAATTTTAACAGGCAGCTCAGGGGTTGTGAGCGTCTGCTCACAAGACACTTTCCCCCTCCACTGGAAACAATGGAGGATGGGGGCACCTCCTTCTGGGGCCCACAGGATTGGACCCACTGGTCCAATCTTTTTGAAACCGGGGGGTGGGTTTGAAGAGAGGCACCAGCAGAGCCCCAGATACCCCCAGTTCGATTCTCCACTATAGCCTATGGGGACCGGGCAACTCTAGGAAGCGAGGACCCATGAAGGCAACGGAAGGCAACGGAACCCCAGTCCTTACCTGACAAGATAGCAAACTGCCGGTGAAGCTGTTCTATGATATCCACAGCAACGAGGGGCCTGATCTCCTGTTGCATGATTTCATCTGTGCAAGAAAGGGGGAGAGAAGAGAGAGGGATGAGCGAAAGCCCCCGTCGGTCAGCCGAGAAACTCTCCACCACCAGAAGACGAGCACACAAAGTGGATAACTCAGAAGTTTGCGGAGTCCTTTCGGCTTCGCTGCTGGTTCTGATTTTTTTTTTTTGTCATATGACTCTCCGCAGGGCAGAGATGGGCACACGCGCCTTTGTTTACAGCGGAGGCCCCTCTCCGTCCTGCTGCCTTTATGTATTGTTTCGTGCGCTGCAGAAATGGGCTTTTCATGAACCCATCCTTCATCCAGAGGACAGCGCGGCTTTTTTCTTCAGGGAGTCGAGCGCCTAATGGCCAAGTTCATGTTTTCCTGGGTGCCCGCATAAAGCACCTCTTCAGCCCAGGGAAAGAGAACTGTCTATATTTGGGCGTGTGTGTGTATGTAAAAAAACTGGAAGGCTTCGTCCCATCCATTTAACAAATGGGCCATTCTTCCCAGTTTCTAGAACAACTTGATTATATTCCCTCTCATCCTTCTGCCTACGAAACTGATTTATACAGACTTAGAACAGCTTATTCTTTACTGTACTGCTCAGAAAGAATACGAGCTTGATAGCGTCTTAAACATAGAAGGGTCTTTCCTGAAGCAGGGATCCTTCACAACCAGACTTGCCAACTCCAGGCTGGGATATTCCTGGAGAATTGGGGGTGGAGCCTGAGGAGGGGCGGGGGTTGGAGAGGGGAGGGGCCTCAGTGGGGTAGAATGCCCTAGAGTCCACCCTCCAAAGCAGCCGTTTTCTCCAGGGGAACTGAACTCGGTCGTCTGGAGAGCGACTGTGATCCCGGGAGATCTCCAGGCCCCACTGGGAGGTTGGCAACCCTATTCACAACTGCAGATATGAAGGGCTGAACCTGGGGCCTTCTGCATTGCCAAACATGTGTTTTACTACCACCGAGTCATAGCTTCATGGTGTAGTGATTAAGAGTGGCAGACTCTAATCTAGAGAAGTGGGTTCGATTCTGCCGTCCTCCCCTTGAAGCCAAGCTCCAAGCAAAGGGAAAATAATCTTTGATAATTATACAACCCCTATGCGTTGCTGTTGTTGTTATTATTATTAAAAATATTATTATTAAATTAAACAATGATAAATAACACGAAATAAGAGCACCAAAAACATAATTCTCCCAAGAGTTCTGCCCCATAACATTAAACTACAGTTCCATATATCTTCAGTAAGGATTGTTGTACAATCTTTCTGCCAAGCAGATTGGTACAACTGAAGTCTGGTACCGCAAATTGTGGAACCACTATCTTACGGACGCAGTTACAGATAAACTATGTGATACCCATCAAAACTCAAAGCAGGAGTGGTTTGTTGAAAGTGGTATCTCAGCAGCAATTTATTTCCTCTGAGTGGTCCCAATTTGATAAATGGATTTGACATATTATTTTAGCAGGGAGGAAGTTTATTCTAACTTGTACAATTTTTTTTTCCTGTCAGTAAGCAGCTGTAAATGTCAATTAGTAAAACGTTATTTTTAATTAAAAACTGTTTTAGTTATATTCTACCTATATTTACATAACACAGTGTATTTCACTGTCACATTGTGTAACGTGTTTAACATCAAATGTTATCGGATTATTCCTGTTCATGTGTAAGTATCGGTCATTTTTATGTAATCGATAATGAATGGCGCGTCATTCAATGGAAAACGTTATAGTTACTATGTTAAAGATAATATTCAAAATAAAAAATTTTAAATAAAAAAAAAAACTACAGTTCCCAGGATTTCCTGGAGAGAGGAAATTATTTCAAAACTTTAAATCTGGCTATGGCCAAATGACTGCTAGTGCTCCGTTTCCAAATATTTGGCGGCTGTGCTTCAGCCCCCCTGCTCTTCCAGCAAGGCCTTTCTCCTATCCTGAGCTGTGTGGGCCTCCTTGTGGTTTCTCAGCTATGAAGGGACGGCATTCTGCACATACTCAGAAGCACTCTTTATTAGTGCAATTCTGCTGTCTTTTTGAAGGGCTCCCAGTTATTTTAGCTGAAGCACGGGAGTGCTTCCTGAAGGGCAGTGCGCCAGGCACTCGTGTTGCATTAAGTGCCATCAAGTTGCTACTGACTGATGGCGACACCATGAATGAGTGACCTCCAAAACATCCTGTCCTTAATAGCCTTGCTCATGTCTTACTAAAGGCTGTGGCTTCCTTGAATGAGTCCATCCGTCTCATGTCGGGTCTTCCTCTTTTCCTAGTGTAACCCATGCAGTTTTGTAGCTGTTAACAGCATACAGGGATCAGGCACGCCTGCTTTTGCCAATAGGTGGTGTGGCAATCAACTCCCTTTCCCCCCTTCTATACTTAGTTAATGAGCATGCTCAGTGCTTGTAGCCTTCCCTAAAGGAGGCTGGGTATTCCCAGCAGCCAGCAGTTCAGCCTGGCCCAGAAAGAGACAACATCTTGGGGAGAAGCCTATATAGACTTTGCTGTGTTAAGGCCTGCCTTGAATTATTGCAGGTAAATCCTGGAGTCAACTGAGAAGAACTGCAGCATCCCAAGTACAGCCTGGAAACCTCATATGCTGTTCCAGTATCTGTGAGCTTACAACATATGGACCTACAATATATGTATTATTTATGTGCTTAGTATTTTTTTTCTGTTCTGTGCATCCTTGTGGATGCTGAAGATATCTGCACTCAGTAATATCCTGAAGATTCATTGCTATGAAGTAATACCGACCAACCAAAAGTGAATGAGGATTTATATGAAAACCTCCATGCTTTGTTTATATAAAGAGTTTATTTTAAATGTTAAAGTGCATTGGTTGTATTGCCTCTTTTATGTCTGTGTTTAAGTACATGTGTAGTAACAGCAGTTACATATTCTTAATAACCATAGGTGGGAGTTCCGCTGTCAAAACCGACTGAACCTGCCCACTCTCCCTACAGATAGGGAGAGTTCAGTCTTGATTTTGGTCTAGAACCCACTGATATGTTTTTGGGTGGTTCATAGCATCCATAAAACTCTCCTCCAGTGCCACATTTCAAATGGATCTACTTTCTCCCTGTCCGCTTTCTTCATTGTCCAGCACGAATGTTATCAGAACGAAAATATCTAAAAGCTTAATTCCATCCCCAGAAATCAAGCACTACCTTCTTCCAATGGACATGTATGGGGCAAGAAAATAGAGATCAAGAATTCACCATTTGCCCCCACTCCTGACTCCCGTGCATTCACATGACATCGTGAAAAGTGTCAACACATACTATGGAGAAATGCCCTACATCCCTATGTAAATCAATGGTGCAACCTCATTTGGAATACTGTGTGCAGTTCTGGTCACCACACCTGAAAAAGGATATTATAGCTTTGGAAAAAGTGCAGAAAAGGGCAACTCGAATGATAAAACGGTTGGAACACTTTCCCTATGAGGAAAGGTTAAAGCGCTTGGGGCTCTTTAGCTTGAAGAAACGACGACTGTGGGGTGACATGATTGAGGTTTATAAGATTATGCCTGGGATAGAGCAGGTAG